TTGTGAACAATTGGCGGACAATAAGCACTCATATCTGGTCTCGAGTGACGACAATGTGTTTGATTTGATTAAAGACTCGTTTAAAGTGATCGACGACTTCGTGACCGAAGAGGAAGAGCGAAGTCTACTGAAAGAGATCGAGCCGTATATGAAGAGATTGAGGTATGAGACCAGCCATTGGGACGACGCTATCCATGAGTACAGAGAGACCGAGCGATTGAAGTGGACTCAAGACAACCAGAAGATCATCGATAGAGTCAGAAGTACGGCCTTCTCGGAGGGCGTGGCGCCCATCAGATCCGTCCATATTCTCGATTTGGCCAAACGAGGGGTCATTAAGGCTCACGTCGACGCCGTCAGAGTAGGTGTTCAAACGGATCCGTTATCTTCTTAACTCATGTGCTAATCTGTGGCTTACGTTATCTTATTTGCTCATCTTATGAACCAATTGATGGCATCAGTTCTGTGGCGACACAATCGCCGGCATATCGTTGTTGTCCTCATCTGTCATGAGATTAGTGGACGAAAAAGATAGCAAACGCTTTGCGGACGCACTGCTTAAGAGGAGATCCCTTTATATCATGTCGTGAGTTATCATCGTTTTTGTGGTTTTGATGCCATTAAATGAATTAATTGTTATATTTGTTAAACTAATGTTTGATATATTGTGTGTTCAGAGGAGTGGCCAGATATAAGTTCACACATGAAATACTGCCACAAGAGATGTCTAAATTCAAGGATCAAGTGATCGAAAGAGAGCGGCGAATATCAGTCATCTGTCGGAATGAACCAAATTATAGCGATAGAAGTGATTGAAAAATCTAGTCTTAAATTATGTCTCAAGAGATTTGTTGTGATTTTAAACTACAATTTTATTGATTTGTTATTTATATTAAACGAGAAAAAAAAACAAAAGCAAAAACAATTGTAACGAAACACTAATCAAAGTAATTATATTTAATGAGAAACATTGCGGCCAATAATCGGCTTTTGTCCACAATTTGGACATTGTTTTTGAAAGAGAGCTCTAAAATAGGTATCTCTTTGGGTATGGCTTTTCCGCCGGCTTCGGGATCAACAGTGGGTTTGATTGCCCCGACATTCCTCTCGTTTTGCGCCACGATATCGAAGTCCACTTTTTTCAGATAAATACTCCGTTTTGTTGCCCTTATATGAAAGGCCGGCTCTCTCTTGGCGTCAGTGACCGTAAAGTTGGCGCCGAAAGGACTGAAATTTTGGTACACTTTGGCGATGAATTTGGAGGGCTGTGCCATCACTTTCATGGTTTGCGTACAACACGGACACAAAGACGACGAGAATTTCAATAATTTGCGGCAAAATATGATCTCACGTTTGAACGGATCGTAGAATCGGACGTCGATTTGCGTACTCTTTCCGTACGCGAAAGCGATCTTCAAATTGATCCGCTCTTTGGCCACAAACACCAGCTCTCCGGCCTGGTTTCGGATCAAATAACGTCTCGGCTTTTTGCTGCTCTTGAGCTCATCTCTCGGGATGTACTGCTCGGAGACGAAGAGTCGATTCACGTTTTCCAGGACATGTAATCCGAGCGGCAGTTCGGGTGTCGGCGGAACCAAAGTGAAGCTCCAGCGGCCGTACTTCGCGCCCCAACACTGTTTGCGATAGTTCTGCGAATCGACGCCTAATATGATTCTTCCCCTCTTGTTGTACAGATCCAGAGGAAGTGCTTTCACTTGAGAGTCACCGCTAACTGTCATGAGCGCTAACTGTCCGGCCAGACCCGGACTCGTGACGTGAACCGCCCCCTCTTCGCCCACTTCTTGATTCTCATTACTATTGTCGGCGTTGGCTATCGATGACGACGACTGCGGCGGCGGATCAGATCTTACAGTTGGGTTAGACCTCACCGTCGGAAGGGGTCTTATAGCTGAAGGCTTTGGTTTACTCATATTTGTATTCAATTAATTTGACGAATACTTTGTTTTGAATTAATAGTCTGTTTAACGGAAAAAAATTAATTTGATTTAATAATGAATTGCAACTCAATTCACGTTCAAAACACTAATTCCCAACACTTTGTTAACCCATTTCACGTGAATTACAATTATTTGAGATTTAAATTTTCAAATCAAATCATCAGTCGTTACTATCGCTGAAAACTTTGTATTTTTGTGTATGAAATCGTAAGCAAAGAATTTGATCCAAACCTCAATGTATCTCTTGATCGGAGTTCTGTTGATTTGCCAACAAATCTATGGACTCGAAGACAGGGCTCACATCGAGAAGGAATTTGAAAAGGAATTACAAGACTTTGAAAAGTCGGGAAAGAATTGGGAAGTGGTTTCTTCGGCGGACATGGATGTAGTCGGAGGCACTCCTAAACGTATCGGTGATCTCGAGTTTGACGTCGAAGTGGAAGAACAGCTACCAGAAGCGGGACACACGGCTCCCGAAGTGGTTGTGGCCGGAGATGTGAGTCTTTGGCTATGAATGAGAAGCGATTTGTATAAACTTTGCTTTTGATGGTATGAGTATAGGAGGCACTGCCGGGCGATCTGTTCACTGATGTGTCCGTCGAGTTGGCGTCCGATTCGGAGAATGTGGGCGACATTGAACTGGACATGAATGTGATGAACAGTCGGACGCGTCAACCGAACCGAAGACCACAACAAACTGGCGGTGAAGAAGAAGACGATGAGAGAGACGTATGGCTACAACAGACGGGCGGTTCGCCGTCGCCGTCACCATCCGGTGGCCAATCAGTGCCGACGACCACCGCTAACGCCAATGTGACCGTTGATAACAGTTCAACGACTATTGGGTCGACTATTACACCACTTTTGACTTCAAATCAAACAGATGTGTTGACCCCTGGAATGCCTCCAATAGATGCTAACACTTCTCCTGAAAGCCCACCCAATCCGCCGCCCATACCTCCGAAGATAGTGACCACAACTACAGCCAAACCCGCGGAACTGCTCAGCAAATGGCCAATACTTCTCATACTTGTTGCGGGCATTTGTGTCGCTCTTTTAGGATTCATTTGGTATTGATTTAAGTTATTAAACAATGAATTATATGTTTAATTCAATGAATGGGTATTTTTACTGTCATTAATAGTGTTTGTCGTAAACTAACGGACACTACAAAGAAAAGTTCTCAACAAAGCGAAGAGAAACGGGTCGCCAAAGGTATGAGTTTTTGCTTCAAAAATTACACAATAAACTGAATACACACTCATTGATAGGACCGCCGCCACGACCACTGGCGCCACAACCTGTCAGAGCCGCCCCTCCCGTCCCACCGCCAGCACCACCAGCACCGGCACCGGCGCCACCCGTTTCCGGTTCAGGCGAAAAAGTGGTCAAATCTTCGGGTTCTCAGGAAGAGTTCTTCAAAATAAAGAGTTCAGAGGAAGATCTCGGTAAACAAAAGTCAGATCCGGGAACGCCGGACAAACCCAAGTCAGATCCCGAAGCGCCCGATAAACCCAAGTCTGACGAACAGCTGTCAAAACCCAAGTCTGACGAACAGTTGTCAAAACCAAACACATCGGCCGATAGTGCGAACCCCGAGACCGCAGAGAAGTCGGAATCAGAATTGTAGACTAAAACTCAAATTCTTTCAAATTATTATTATTATTGCAATTATTATAAATGTTTTGAATTTGTTTTCAAGTTTTATATTTTTAAAGGTCTCTAAATTTTATTGTTTTTTTGCAACGATTCTGTAATTTCTAATAAAACATTATTTTTGTTCATTATTTTGTAACTTTTAGCAAATTCTTGAATTATAGAGAAAAAAATCAAAACATCATTGAAATTATTTAAAACAAAAAATTTAATAGAATTTTTAATTATTATCTAAAAAATAATTGATAAATATTTCATCGGATTAAAAGTTAAGTTTGACTAAATATAGTCTCGTTTTCCTGAATGTCGGTATTCTTAAAGTGAACCAGTTTTGAGACAATCCATTCGCTATCGATTCCCGTCTCATATACACGACTCAATCTATAATGCAATCAAAATTAAGTGAAAAATTGTTTACAAAAATTCAAATAATGGATAAATGAATTGATTAACTCATAAATGCATAAAAACTTGTTGTCGAGAAGGGGTTCCAGTAATTTCCTGTTAGCTCTAAAATCAAACACTTTTAGACTTTCGCCATTCATTTGAGATCTGATTTTAAATTCAAGTTCTTTGGCATTCTTTAAGACATCAAAGATTACAATAATTTTAA